GGCCCTGGGGCCCCCAGCTTTAAAACCACTGCTCTATAGTACAGTCCAATACAGTCTTTTGCCTTTTCTGTTTTAACCTAAACTGAACTCTTTCCAGTCATGACTATTTTTCTTAATGGCTACTAATCTCCATTCTGCCTCTAACCTTTTCTTTGTTCTTTTCTCTTCTGCTTTCTGTATTCTTTTACTCTCACCATCTGGGGCTGCTTTCCTCCACCTTTGGTTTTGCCTGGGCCTCTACATATCGCCTCTGTACGTCCTTGTCCTGTTCTCCATCCCGGGGCCCTGAACAGTATCTTCTCCTGCAGACCCCACTGATGTTCACGGAGCAGATGCAGCAGGATGTTATCATGGTGCTGAAGTTCCCGTCCAATTCTCCGGTGACACATGTAGTGGCCAACACGCAGCCAGCTCTAACATCACCTGCTATCATCACTGTCACCGCCAGCCGCCTCTTTGCTGTCAACAAGTGGCACGGCTTGACAGGTGAGAGATTCCTTCCTATTAATTTGTCTTTAAAAATTTATGCTCTTGCTTCGTTTTGATTAATTGTCTCATCACAGGAGGATGGACATTGATTTGGGAGACAGTTGACTGTGTCTCCCAGACACCAGTATCAAATGTGACATATGTAGAAGGCAGCATTAGGTCTCACGTCTACCTCCATACATCCACCGATCACTTTGCTATACCTTATTTATTCAACACCCATCCTGCTCCAGATAAAATTAGATGCGTTTTGAGTAAAATACAATCACCATCACACACACAAATGATCTGACTGATCATGTGATTTAGTTTAGAAAGTTGTGTACAGTGCCTACCCTCCCCTGGGGATTTTTTATGCTTTCAAAGCTGATCTAAATTATTCATTATTCATTTTATAACGTTAAAAATGCAAAAATAAAAAATGTATAACTTTCTATGTCAGTGAAAACAAATATCTACAGAGAAATTGCAATGAATAAAACTTTTAATTAGTGGGGAGTGGTGGCGCAGAGTTTAGAAAAGGCGAGCCTGTGATCGGAAGGTTGCCAGTTTGACCCCCAGACCAACAACATCAAAATGTGGGTGGGAAGGTGAAGCACCCACACTTGCCTCCACCCTCATTTGCTCCACTCTGGGCCCTTGAGCAAGGCCCTTAACCCCAAGAGACCCTAAATAGCAGCTCTCTGCTCCACACAGAGGGCTGTGGTAGCTCAGTAGTCTGTGGTTGTGTCAAGGGCATCCAGCGTAAAAATAATAGCGAAGTCTTTGTGCAAGTTAGCTCGCTGTGGTGAACCCTGAAAGAAGGGAGAAGCTGAAAGGGGTAAAAAAATATATATATATAAAAAATAATAATCAGTCACCTCTTTTAAAGTGGCTGACCTATTTAACCAATTTTATTATTTAAGATTATTGAAAAGTACAAGTCAAGAGGGTCAATACCAAAGGACTTCTAAGACCCTAAACATGAAATACAAAACAATACAACTTTGTTTATAACCACTTTAAAACAACACCATTGACCAAAATGTTGTACAGTAATCCCTCGTTTATCGTGGGGGATCCGTACCCTGAATCCCTGCGATAAATGAAAAACAGCAAAGTAGGAATAGTAGTACAAGTACTAAGTAGTAGTTTATTTTAGCGTGTATATATATATATATATATATATATATATATATATATATATATTCAACCTTTATTTATACAGGTTAGCCTCATTATATATACAGTATATTAAGGTGTTTTAAACCCTTCCCACACTCTTGCAATATTCTAATGTTTCTAAGCTCTAAACACTCTAAAAGAGCACAGCCTGTCATGATTTCAGCTCTCTGCCTCCGCTGCACTCTACCAGCGCTCTTGGCCACGCCCACTGCTCCGCTGCATAGCGGAGATCAACTACATTAAGAAGCTTCTCCTGCAGCTTGGGCTGCACACTGGTGCAGGAGGAAGCTAAATAATTTTAAATAATTTGTTTTAAATAAAAATTCCATGCCGATTGTGCGGCTCATCCATCAATCAGCCAATTGTGTGTCATGTCCAATCTTACTTTGAAAAACCGTGATAGAGCGAGTCCGCAAAAAAGAGCCGCGAAGTAGTGAGGGACTACTGTACATCAAAAAACTAAACGCATAAAATTTCTAAACAAAAATAAAAAATATATAAATTAAAATTCCAAAAATAAAAAAATAAACATTTATAATAATGAGAACAATTAAAACCAACATCTCTGAGTTAGAGCCAGCGAGGGGAAAAAAATTGTTTTAAGAGAAGATTTAAAAACTGCAAGTGAGTCAGCAGTCTTGTGTGAAAAGACAGCGACTTGTTTTACAGTTTGAGGCCACAACTGAAATCACCTGGCCTTCTTCTCAAAAACATCCCCAGGAGTTCTATTAAATCTGACAAGAAATGGAAGGAATCTGGGACATGTGTAAATCTACCCAGAGCAGACTGTTCTCCAAACTGAGTGTCCATATATGAAGGAGAAAAATGACATCATTAAGACACCCGAGCTCATTCTGAAGGAGTTACAGACTATAGCAGGTGAGCTGGGAGAGGCCGAGCATACAACTGTTGCCTGGATTCTTCACCAGGATAATGTTTATGGTGAATGGCAAAGAGAAAGCAACAGTGAAGGAAACCCTTTATTTAATCTCTACTAATCTCTAAACAATCTAAACAATTTTTGATGAGATTTATTGAGTATTCTTCAACAGCCTGTTCCTGGTAGATTTACACATGTTCCCTAGTCCTTTCATTTTCTTGTTGAAATGTTGAATATCATGGGAGTGCTTAGAGCCTTCCAATCAATCTCTTGTACTTTACATTTTTTTTTAAATATTAAACTAAATTAGGACATTCACTTTGAAATAAGTTATGACAGAAATCAAAACATAAAACAAATAAGGTGGTAAATGCTTTTTAAAATTGCTGTATATAGCTGTTCAGAAGAAACTGAGAAAAGTAAAGTGAGAGGTGGGAATAAATTTACATGTTGCTCAAGAGGTTAGAGTGTTGCACAGTTTTTCAGTCTTTCTTACGTTTGCCAACTTCACAAAGCATAGACAAATATAATGCTAAAATGTATATGAATGGCAAATATGAGTTTTTCCAAATTTTATTGGTGTAAAATCAATGTTTCTGAGCTGTTTGATAAAGAAACTCGTTTACTGGTCTTCTCTATTTCCTAAGTATCTTTTTGATATAATTGAAATGTAATTAATAGGAGAGCTCAGACAAGCAGGTCATAGTATCACATTATGGTTTTAGTTTTCAGTGTGTTACAAGGACCACAAATGCAGCATACTGTCATAAAGTCACTCAGCTATAATATTAATCCAGTCTGTCTTTACTCCTCTGTCAGGTCATCAGAGTTCAGCTGATCAGCAGTACCAACTTCCTGTGGAAATTGACCCTTTGATAGGTATGCTGTCATTCATGACTGTTAAGAAAATACACACACTTAAGTGTTAGGTGTGTGCGTGTGTGTGTGTGTGTAATATATATATATATATATATATATATATATATTTGGGGCTGCTGTGGTTAGAGCAGTCATCCTCCAATGGGAAAGTTGGGGGTTTGATTCCACCAGCAGTCACATGAAGTGTCCCTAGGCAAGACACTGAGCCCCTCATTGCCTCTGATGTGTGTCTTATTGTTGTATGAATGTGATAAAGCACTGATTAGTCTCTACAGATTCACATTAGCTTTATAGAGATGTAGTGTGCTGTATGAATGTGTGTGCAGGTAAATGAGGGCACAGATTATGTTGTGGACCACTTTGAGTATCTTAATTGGATAGAAAGGCGCTATGTAAGTACAGTCCATTTACCTATTAATAATCAATTCCTGATTAATAATCAGGAATCGAGCTGGCCGGCCATTTAAACCGAGCGATCTGGGGAGAAGGGCCTTAGTCAGGGAGGTGACCAAGAACCTGATGGTCACTCTGTCAGAGCTCCAGTGTGTCTCTGTGGAGAGAGGAGAACCATCCAGAAGGACAACCATCTCTGCATCCATCCACCAATCAGGCTGTATGATAGAATGACCAGAGGAAAGACTCTCCTTAATAAAAGAAACATGGCAGCCCGTCTGGAGTTTGTCAAAAGGACCTGAAGGACTCTCAGATCATGTGAAACTAAATTTTCTGGTCTGATGAGACAAAGATTGAACTCTTCGGTGTGAATGTCAAGCGTCATGTTCAGAGGAAACCAGACCAATATTATCCCTACTGTGAAGCATGGTGGTGGCAGCATCATGCTATGGGGATGTTTTTTTTAGCAGCAGCAACAGGCAGACTATTCAGAATAGAGGGGAAGATGATGCATCAATGAATGGAGACATCCTGGATGAAAACCTGCTCCGGAGTGCTCTGGACCGTTCATTTTTCAGCAGGACAACGATCCAAAGTACATGGCCAAGATCTCAAAGGAGGGGCTTCAGGACCACTCTGTGAAGGTCCTGGAGGGGCCAGTCCAGAGACCAGACTTGAATCTGATTGACCATCTCTGGAGATATCTGAAAATGGCTGCACAGATGTCTCCCATCCAACCTGATGGAGCTTGAGAAGTACTTCAAAGAAGAATGGGACAAACTGCCTAAAGATGGGTGTGTTAATGTTGTGACATCATATTCAAAAATACTGGAGGCTGCAACTGCTGCCAAAGGTGGATCAACAAAGTTTTGAGCAAAGACTGTGAATACTTAGATAAATCTGATTTCTTAGTTTTCTATTTTTAATACATTTGCAAAAATCTCAAAAAGAAAATTTTCACATCGTTGTGGTATTGTGTGTAGAATTTTGAGGAAATAATTGATTTAATACAATTTAGAATAAGGCTGTAACATAAAATGTGGAAAATTGAAGTGCTGTGATTACTTTCCAGATGCACTGTATGTACAGTATGTATGTATGTGTGTGTGGGCGTGCACAATAAATGAGTCCTTTTGTGGGTCTGAGTGTGAATCCTGTTTGCATCTTGATGACTCATGGCAGTCTGCAGTCCCTGGACAGTAGATTAGAGCTGGTTCTCAGCCTCTGCCCCAGTTCACTCGTCATGATATAGGCCCTGCTCTCTCACGAAACCATTTGCATGCAAATTGGAATGCAATGAGCTGTGGCCTAGGCCAGCATTTCATCATCAACTCCCCCTTCTTCTTCCCCTCTCTGTGGTCCCTTTCCTCCCTCCCCTGCATCTTCTTTTGTTTAATTTGAGCAGAGGGAAAGGACGCGTGTCAGTGGAAATGAATATGAATGTGGTAATAATGTGTGATTGAGAATGCACGGCGGACGGCTGTCAGGACAATATGGACACCTCTCATCCTTCACGACTTGTTGATGAGCAGAAGAGTGCCGAGTTGCAGTGATGTATGGGCTGCACAGCCAGAGCAGCGAGGAACGCTTCTTCCTGCTCCATCAGCATCTGCAGAGGATGCTGTTCTTTCTCTGTGAACGTTGCACTCGTTGTCACACCATGTCCGTGCCATTCCCCACCCTAAATCCTTGACCAGCGAAAATAACCAGATTTAATTCTCCGTTGTTCATCTTTATCTGTGTATAGTTCTTTATTATTCTCATGCATACTGCATACAGTCAGAATAAAATAAACATTTGTTTTAAATTTTAAATGTTGTTTTCAGTATGCATATACCGTATTTTTTGCTGTATAAGTTGCTCATTTGTGCATAAATTAGCATGCCCTGTGACTTATACAGCGAAGCGACTTATTATTTTTTTTTTTCATATTTATAACAGTTTTTGGCTGAGAGCTGATGGTTTCAGTCATCCTGACATGGAAAATATTGAACACTAATCATTTTCAGTTGCTAGAGGGCCCTCAACCAATATGGCGAATTAATAGGTAAAAGTAGCTATTAATGGGACACTTGGCTTGCCATAGAAGCCAACTTCGTCTCGCTCGGAACTCCTGGAGCAAACATCAAATCGGCTGCATTTCACCACACTGCCCAGGTGAAATGTAGCTGATTTGACCATTAAAGTGCAATTATTAAGGAAAAATTCAACTGAGACACACCTTTACTATAATGTCAAGCAAACAAATAATTGTTTTTAGGTGTTAATCTTGTTAAATTTTGACGAAATGCACAGCGAGTCCTCTCTCTGCGCGCTCCCACGGCTGCAAATCGGTTTTTGAAATGCAGCTGATTTGACCAATATAGTGTATTTTAAGGAAAAGTTCAACTGAGACACACCTTTGCTATAATTTTGAGCAATTAAATAATTGTTTTTAAATGTTAATCTTGTTAAAGTCCTACCATGCATGCTCCCGCGGCAGCCAGTCGATTTTTGGCTCAACACTGGCCCACATTTCCGGATGGTCATTGGTGACGCATAATAGATGCGACTTACACGGCAAAGCAACATATTTGTTTTTTCCCACTTTATTAGACATATTTGGACTGATGCGACTGTATGGCTGCAAGTACGGTATATATTTTTGAAAGACCACCTTTAAGAATAATTTTACCCTTCTGTACTTTAATTTATCATTCATGTAGATATGACCATTATACAAAATTATACAACCATCATCGCACATTGGTTTATCTCCAAACGATCATAATGTGTCTTTGTGGGAGAGTGTTCACATTTTGGGCGAGGTAGTTGGGAGTTTTGTTTATGTCAGTAATATATTTACAATGTTTGCATTCCAGAAGGAGTCTGAGCTAAACACAATAAATTGAAGATGAGCGTTGAGCCATCTGTGGCTCTAGGAAATAAAAAGAAAACGGATGAAATATTAGTTGCAACCAGTGCACTGGATGTTCCCAGTTTTACCTGCTTTCAGTGCGATTGACCCCATTAATTTATAAAAATAAGAATAACCCTACCTAAGAATAATGGAAAGAAATGGAGCGTGTCAGAAAATTAATTTTCTAATTTATTATGCCTAAACTCTGAACCAAGATGGATTTCTGTGTCTCCTCTGACCGGAGCAAGGCACACTCTGTTATTACTCAGGCTCTTGAACTCTCATGGAAAATGTGCAGTCCGTATAATCTTAATCTTCAGGATGTTTTATGTGTCCCCTCATAAATCGTTTTTACACTGAAGCATCAAAGGGTGAGCTTTTGGCTGTTTACACCATAAATCAGCCACTTTCAAAGTGTCTGTTGGATCATTCTGTAGGTTTCACACATTGTGTAAGTCTGCATTTTTCAACATGCAAGGTTTGTTTGCTCGTTGTTTTTCAGCTAGCAACGTGGGAGCTCATCGTCGTCAGATCTCAGACCTGCTGGATCAGAGCATTCAGATCAGCTCCCAGTGTTTTGTCATCACAGCTGACAACCGCTTCATCCTTCTGTGTGGCTTCTGGGATAAGAGCTTCAGGGTTTACTCCACTGACACAGGTACTTTATAATAGGTTCTACAACGATGTGTGTGCTGATGTGCTTCTCTGAATTCAAGAAGCAGCAATTAACCTTTCTGATGTTAAAGAACCGTTTTTCTTCTGGGGTTTACACAGGAACACCTATAGAATCAGAATATTACATGATACGGAAGGTTTAGGCATCACATGTGACCAATAGTTGGATTAACTTTGCTTTATATTTTCATTTTACAGATTGTGTTCCAGTTTAATTTTGTCATAAAGCAAAGTTGTTATATTTTAAACCTTCTTTTTATCAGCCATTGTCTTTTCCATACCAGATCTTTACTGTTGTTTTTGTGTCGGAACAAAAAAAACGTTAAAACATTTCACAAAGAATATCCTACCAGGGATCCACAGTGTAATGATGCACATTTATTGTTTACTGGAGAGAGAAAAAAGATAATTTTAAAACTATATGCCTAGGCCTGTTGAGATAAACAATAAATCAATTAATCGCATGATAAATGAAAATTATCGACCTCATTTTCATTTATCAGCTTTATCATTTCTTCGTGTCTCTCTCTTTCTACTGAAGCCACCGGATGACAAAAAGCTCAACTCCAGTGCTCTTCACGGACCCCTCACTTTATCTTTTCTCTTTAAAATCTGTTTTAACTGTTCAAAATCACATTTTTGGATCGTTAAAAACAGCTAAGCTGAGAAGCTAAGCTATGAGCTAAGCTAACAGGCCGACCTCGGGGAAAAACCTCTGTCTTGTCGAAGTTCCAAAATTCACTGTTGAAACCCGTGCCTTCGTGTTAAAAGTTGTTTTTCTCTGCAAAAGGAAGCCGAGAACTTGTTTACTGATTTTTATTAAAAGCTTTGTGTGAAAAATGCTATGCTAAAGATCTCAAAACACACCGAGCGTCCGCCATTTTGAGAAACAAAAAAAGGAAGGAGAGACAGCCCATGTCATGTCAAGGGGCCTCCCTCCCATTTTTCTTAGAGACACGCTGCTCGCTCCCTCACTATCCACCCTTGGGTTCAAACAGTCTTATGCTGCCATACAGTAGTCAAAAAAGATACACTCAAAACAAATTAACCAACATTTCTTCTTAAATTTGACAATAATTACTAATTATTGTCAAATTTCAAACAATATTATTGTTTATCACAATAGTTTCTGAGACAACCGCCCAGCAAAATTTGTTATCGTGACAGGCCTATATTTACCATAATTTTCGAACTATTGAGCGCACTTGAGTACAAGTCTTGCCCACTAAATTTAAAAAGAAAAAAATGTTTGTACATGCACTTTTGTATAAGTCGCAGATGTCCACGTTGTATTATGATATTTCCATATAAAGATTTTTTAGCTTTTAATTAAATACGTGCTGGTAACACTGTTTAAACACAAATATGTAGAGTAAATGTTTTGATTTTCTGAACAGTGCCTGTAACATGGCTGGTTAAAAGAAAAAATTAAATACATTATCCTACCAGGAAAAGTCAATGATCGCCATCTTCATCTTCCTCCTGTGCACTAAAACCACTAAAGTCGTCTTCTTCTGTGTCAGAATTGAACAGTTGCAGAAAAACGTCATCACGCATGTCCTCAGTCTCTTTCAATGTCGCTCTCAACATCACTCGTCAAATTGTTCGTCACATTCGCGATTTGATTTGATTTATGATTCACACTTATTTCGAGTAGCTCCAAATACTTCATTATGTACAAGGAGGGGGGAAGCTCCCACAGGGGTGGGGGGTGGGGAACAAAGTTTCTCCCTCACCACAGTGGACCAATGAAACCAATTTTTAATGGTCCATTGTGACCTGTTCAGTAATTTCATTGGTCATTTTTTTTTTACCTTTATTTATACAGGTAGTCTCATTGAGTCACGAGGACCCACCCCCCCAAGATAGATGTGTATTGGCAGCGCCTGGGTGTGACGAGGCTAAGCTTATGCCATCAAAAAAATTATATATATATATTTATATATATATATATATATAAATTAGCCGCAGCATTGTATAAGCCACGGGCTTCAAAGCTTGTGAAAAATTTGTGGCTTATAGTCCGGAAATTACGGTATATATTTTTGTATGGATAACCGTAGATAAATGGATTTCCTATTGCACCATCTTTTGCATGTATGTCATATAAGCCAAACTGCTAAGAAATACAAAAACACACACAAAAAAATACATATTGTAAGAAGTTTTGCAGCTTAACTAGATTAAAAGTATTTTGAATGAACAATAGGTCAAATGTTGTAAATTATGTTCTATCAAAGTTGTCACAGAAAGTAGGGCTAGCTTTCTTTTCTCCCTTATGTTTGCCTGGTCATTGCTGTGTCTACATTTATTAGAATGTTTTTTCACGTTTTAGATCTACTCTGCATGTTTTAACCACAAATTATTATTTTTAATCTGGTTAAAATGTTAGTTACAGACTGTTGACCTTGTGTTTTGGGTTTGACCAGTCCAGCATTTCAGTTGTGAAATAAGAAACTGAAAACTGCTCAACACTGCGTGTGACTGAAGGAACATTGGTGCAGTGTTCTTGGTGTCTGAACTGGAGCATATAAAGTGAGAGGAGATTTAGGTGCAAATAATTGGAATATATTACCCAGGTACCATTCAGTGATTTCTTTAAGTGTTTTTATTTTATTTCACTACACTAATGCATGGTTTTGGGGGGTGCAGTAGCTTGGCGGTGAGTGCCGCAGTCTTGTAATCCTGAGGTTGCTCGTTTGAGTCCAGGTTGCGTCAGGAAGGTCACCCCATGTAAAACAATTTTCACATCTTTCATGTGGGTTCGCTCACTGTGACACCCCCTGCAAACACTAGCAGCTGAAAGAGCCTTACATGATATATAGTTTTAATGAGTAGACCTCTGTGTATCTGAATACCTTTGCTACACACACACATTTACACACAAAATGCTGCCAGGTCAGGGGTCCTAAATGAAACTGTCTGAAGCTTCATCTCTGTACCCCACTCCTCATCGCTCCCCCCCCAGCTCCATTCAGAACGCTACATGCATCCATACAACAGACTCCAATTCAATTTCTCTCCAGGCCAAGCCCTCGCTGTCTTTTCTGAAGGAGGGAAGGGAGTGCAGAGATAGCTCTATTGTGCGACTGCCACCAGGGTGTGCAACTGGAACGTGAGCGCAGTTTAATCGCTCAACAGCTGCCGCCAGTGTCCCCAATTCCCCCAGGTTAAAGAAGTGGAGGGTTTTATCAATTACAAGACTTGATTGGTACACAAGCCTAAAACCTAACCTTATCTGCCAGCATGCAGATACATCCAGTTCAGTTTATCTCTTTGCGATTGTGTGTGTGCGTGCGTGCATGCAATCAAAAGAGCACGTTTAATCTGAGCTGCATGGTAGCCATTATCGTAGCAGCTATCATTACTTATTTTGACTGTTTATAAGATTGTCAAACATTTCACATCACTGATGGCTGCGTTCTTCTTTTGGAAGTTTAGTCTCTGACGCGCCCATTTTCATAATAACCCCCATCGTTTTCTGAAGGAGCGACTTAATTATGATGTGAACAGAGATTCTGACACCCGGACAGAAATGTCATATGTTGCAAACTATCTACTGTTTGACTGCAGAGGTCACACCATGAGGAGCGTAATGGATATTAGACAGCTAGACGATGGAGCTGTGGTCTTGAAATCTGACAGCAATTAGCCTCTTTACATATACACTTGGTGCGCACTGCACACACACACAGGCACATTCAAAGTTAGAGCAAATGTTTATCCTTGTGTGGGAATTAAATTTGGTTTATTTCAGTTTATTTACGTAGCGCCAAGTCACAACAGAAGTCGTCTCAGGGCACAAATTAGAAGTCTAATGCTGTGTGAGGTAACTAACCGAACTTCCAGATATTTAAGAAACAATGTACAGTCGTCTCTTTTGTTTAAATTGTTTTAACCAATCAAATGGACCGGTTTGGTAAAAAAAAAAACACGTCTTGCTTTTGTTTTCTCTTTGCAGGCAAACTCACTCAGATAGTGTTTGGGCACCGTGACGTGGTGACGTGCCTTGCTCGCTCTGAGTCCTACATCGGAGGAGACTGCTACATCCTGTCCGGCTCCAGAGATGCCACCCTGCTGCTGTGGTACTGGAATGGAAAGCATAACAGCATCGGAGAGAGCCCAGGCGGTGAGTAGCTGAGCTGGTTTGGCAACACGTTCACACACACACATGCAGGAGTGCTCTCTGAACGTTCACCCTCTCAGACAGCTGTGGCTGTGTGATTTACAGCCTCCCGCTGTAAAGTAACAACTAGTTTCGTCTGACCAGGCCAGACCTCTTCCATACAGATTGGATTTCGCAGCTCCGCTGTCGCACCAGCACCAGCTTTTGATAATCCGTCTGATATTGGCGCATGTGTTTCTGCGAGGCCAGATAGTGAGTGTGTGTGAGAATGTGTCTTTAATGCGAGTGAAAGTGAGGGCCACTTAGGAACGTTAAATGTGATGTCGGGAGGGGCGGGAGGAGTTGGCCAGTGCAGGAACGTTCACAGCTATCCAAGGGCCATGAGGTCAAACTAGTCGATAAAAGTGAAAAATGTCACGGGCCTCCCCTGCGTTACCAAAACATATGGCACTAGCTATGATCAAAGCGTTGCTAACACGTTGCTCAGCCCACAGACTCCTCAGAGCTAATTTGGTCAGCTCAGATCGACGAGCGTGTTGTTAGATGATCTGCTACAAATGGGATGAAATTTATGACAAATGTTGATTTGTTTAATAAGCCACGTTGGTTTTTACAGACAACATCCAAAACAGAATACGATCACAGAGGCACTGGGATATCATAGGAACTATGTATTTATTATTCATTGATTCCAGTTCTTGTAAAAATAAAAAGTATCTGGGCTGAAAAATGGGCAAAATAAGTATAAATAGTTTTCCAAGATTAAACTGGGAACCTTTTGGAAAAAATGCCATGCTAGAATTCACCATCTACTTATATTTTAACGGTGGAGTTTCTACCAAGTCTTTGATGCTATTTTCAAATTAAATTGTGCACGTTAGCTGAAGACTGGTTAGCTCAGAGCTAGTTACCACAGTAATGCTGAAGGTGCAGACAGTGCTAGTCATCCCGTCCCAATGTGATGCTCCGTTGCTTCCGACCGCAGGAGGCTCTCCCAGACGTGAAGTTCAACTTCAGGCACACTTTCATGAACACAGAGCAGACAGACAGCACTTTATTTATTCTGTTCCCCAAAAAAACTAAAACCTGCTCACACTCTGTAAATTCCTCTTTACTCCTAACGATCCGTGGACGTCCTGCACACGTCACCGGCTTGACTGAAGTCCATCTGAAGAGCTGAAATGCACATGAACACACTGACCCCCGATGTTTTGGTTTGTGCTTCAGACAGGAGAGATTTCAAATGCACCACTGCCACCTGCTGGCACAAACTCCTTCAGCGCTACATTTATTCTGTAAATGGTTTTGTTCAAGTGAGGCTGAACTGGAAATAAATGTTTTTATCCTTTGTTGTCACAGCAGTAGTTCGACTGGTAAAAATTATATCAGCTTGTTATCTTTGTTGGCAATATTTGTTGATTTAGATTTGTGGTTTGCAAGGTGTCTCAAAAATGAAGCTATGCACACGAAAACAGTACTTTTTCCACATTTTTGTTGCATCCTATCCTTTAGTATTTTGCAGGTTTAGGTTTTGCACATTAACACTTGTTAGCGTAATGCACTGATATTTTTGCTGCAAGACATCGCAAAGCCTTCTAGTTTCTTCTTCCATTTTTTCCAGTCCAAGTCTGCCACATTTGTTTCTTTCATTAACTAAAAATATGTCAGATACTTCCTGCCGAAATAAGCAGACGAATACTGGGATTTAAAAATGGTAGTATGAATTTACATGTAAGTTGCTACGAGCAAAGGGGGAAGCAATCATTTAAATATTTTAATTAAAAAAATTATGAATATTTCTGCTTACATACTGACAAAACGTGTAATATTTTCTGAAAAGCTTTTTTTTTTGTGCTTGAAATGGCACAATTTATGCTCAGCTATGGTTTGGAGGCAGTGTTGCCAGGTGTACGATAATTATCGTATTTGTACGACAATTTTGCCCTCTGTACGATCAATAATCCCAAAAAAGGCCAAATATACGATAATTTCACCATTCCATGAATGTGTGGTTGTAATCAGTTGTCATCAGCCTCTCGCAACTGTCTGTCGGGAGTTTTTTTGTGAACCCTGAAGGCATCTGTGTCCGCAAACAGATGCACGATTGGCTGGAAATTCCACCCAATCGTGCTTTTCTAAATGTGACCTACGAGTGACGTGTTTGTGTTCGCCTCAGAACAACGGCCATGATTGGCTGAATAGTCGGTTGCGTCTGCGCCTTGAGTGAGGAAAAGAAACAAAGAAAAGAAGAAGAAGCAGAGCCGGTCTGGAAGCGCACCCATCACTACTATAGTGCATAAATACATTTGTTATTTTGGTTATGACAGGTGTACGATAATTTTTCTCAAAATACAATAATTTTATGTCTCTAGTACGATAATCCTACATTTCTCACCTGGCAACACTGTTTGGAGGTAACGTTAGATGCAATTATATAAGGCTTCATCAGATTTTTTTGCTGCAGGCAACAATACAAACGGATCAGAGGCAGAAAATACACAAAACATCTGAACCTGCTCCTCGTCTGTGTTTCCATGCAGGAAGCAACCTGTATGGATTTAATTTCCTAGAAAATTACTCATAAATAAACAAAAGCAAACAGTCAAAAGATGATCACGACATGGTTTACCGTTAGCCGTATGTTGTTCTGTTAGTTTTTGAGTTCATTTGGTGGATGAGTGTGAAATCTGTGCTTTAGTCATCATGAAAATATCTGCTTAATACAATGTACATTAAATCTGCTGATACAGGCTTATATGTATGTCTTTTTAAGAATGCACAATATTATCGGCATGGTATTGGTATCAGACAATATTAGCGATACATTTAAATATCGGCCCTTCTATCAAAAATAACTCACGGATATAAAAGGCGCTGTTTTTATATATATATATATATATATATATATATATATATATATATATATAGCACTGTTTTTTGTATGACTGTTCGAGTGTTGTCATTGTGTTAGAGTAAATGTCATGAATAAATCTGACATTAAACATAATCCAAGTTGAAGTGTTGCATCATTTTCAGTCCCCTTTTTGGCATCTACATTTGGTAGCAGGATAAACTGACTAGGATCATGCAGAATAATGTAGTATTTTAAATTCACAGCACAGAAAGATATGTAGTCTCTGTAAGTAGGTCTAAGGGGGGAAATATCGGTATTGGTAATGGTTATCGGCCAAATAAGTTTTAACATATCGGCCTATCAGATATCAGCCACAAATCCAATATCGTGCGTCCCTAATGTTTTTACATCAGACCCATTTTCCTTCTGGAAAGTTCAGTCTCCAAACTGAACGTTCTTCAGCATCTCTGTTCATCTTGAGCTGAAAATGATCTCCTGCACAAGTCAACAGTTGTTTTTTTCAGGGTTGTTGTGCCTGCAAATCCTCATTGACTGCTTGGCTTTTTATTTTTGGAACTTGTTGTAAGCCTTACATCAAGTTATTTACAACCAAGTCATTTAATTTAGAAAACATTTTTGATTTATGTGTAGAATAAAAGTTTGTTCCTGCAGTTACTAAAGATTAAAAAGCATATGTACACACGCAGACACAGATAGGAGATGCTGTCCTCAGCCTCCCAGCTTTGGTCAGGTACAAGATTGTAATCACATGTCGCCCTAATGGAAACCAAATGGCGGGTCAAGGCTCCAAACTGCTACAGTTTATTCACTTTATCGGCTTTATAGATCTTCACCCAGTAAAATCCAACATCTAAATCTAACTCACGTGTTTGTTTTTAGTGAGAATGCTGCTGTTCTCTGGATGAAATGTAGATGTTTGGGCTGCTGCTGTGGTGGAAGCAGGAAGGTCTGGGTGGGTGCAAAGTGGGCAGCTTAATGTAAAAAGTCCAAACAGTCAAGTGTCATTTAAATATTATGAAATCAGTTACAACCGAGAGCAGTTTGGATTTTCAGTATGTTCACATTACTCATACATGTTACGCGTCTGTTAATTTACAGATCTATTATCTGTACTTATGGATGTCATCAATCAGAAGTTTTCCTCTTTTTACAACAGTTTACGGAGCACGTTAGCCAGAATGCTCTTTCTGCTAAATCTGATTAAGCTGCTACAGTAGCCGTGGCTTTTTGGAGAATAACCGATCTTATTAGGGAACCTTCTTTGGATTTTGTGTTTAATTTAATTAAAGAAAAGAACTGCGTAAAGTCATTGAGGCACTTATGTTTTTAAAGTTTTATACCCACCACATAAATTATAATGTAGTACCATTTATTGTTTACACTGGAAACTTTCCGTTTTGTGTTTACATCAATGTTCATTCCTGACATTCCTCAAGCTTTTCTTTTTTTAGAAACTTATTTTGTTTGGACTGCATCATTGTAGAAAAAGCTGCTGAAGCCAGTACGAGTGTCGGGGCTGCTGGTGAAGGTTTGCGTTAAATTTCCTTGAATAGACAAAAGAAGCAACTCCTTCATGATCAGCAGACCACTAGTAAATAACTTATTTTGCATAAATCTGTTGTTTTATTATTATTATTATTTATTTATTTATTTATTTGTTTGTCTTGTTGCTCACTCTGACGGCTCAAACCTAAAGACACAAACATCCCAGTTGTTCTGCTCTTTTGGGCTTTCTGTGTTTCTGCTTGGCTGATGCAGAAACATCTGGATCCAGTGAAGGTCGTCATGGGGAAGAAGTTGTAGGGACAGTGACAATAGACTGAAAGGAATGGTGTGTGGTGGATGTGCACAACAAAATTAATTAACATTAAATAACAGATTATCCTTGATTTTATTATTTTATTTGTCACTTAGTTAATGCAACTTGTAACTCTAAGTACCAAACCATTTTTTTTTCGCCTTTACGCTCCCTAGTGAGCATCACATATGATGCAGAACTTATATTTTCTGTTCTGTTTTAGCAGCATTTACCATACCGAGGGCCATCCTGACGGGTCATGACTGTGAGGTGACGTGTGCGAGTGTGTGTGCTGAGCTGGGTCTCGTCATCAGCGGCTGCAAAGGTGAGCTTTCCTACATCTGTTCATTTGTTCCAATAATCCAATGTTGACTGATGTTTCTGTCACTTTGGCCTTTGCCTCAAATTAAATGACTGCACAGCAGTAACACGTGAATAAATGTAAAATAGTGATTGACTATAGATTCACAGCCCGCAGACTCATAAATACAGACTTGTTCTGAAAATATGTGGGAACTGAGTAAAATGTAAATAAGAATGCAAAATTACAAAGATTTTAAAACAATTATTTATTAGCAGTTATTAATTTAAGGCTTTATTAATACAAAAATATAATCTAGTAACTACTGAAACTATGATTACAATAAGTGTTTAATTTGTATGACTATTACATTTATTTTACTTATTCATTGATTTTTTTTTTTTTTTGTAAGTGTTTTTGAAATACTTAAAATTGAAAGCCAAATGTTTTCACTCTTTTGCTTTACGTCCAGTTTAGGAGTCAGTATTTCTGTGCTTCAGTTTTTGTTCTGTCTTCCTATAAAACTTAAGTACCGTAATTTCTGGACTATTGAGCGCACTCGAATATAAGCCGTGCCCACTAAATTAAAAAAGTAATAATTTTGTACATGTGCAGGCTGCACTTGTCTATAATCCGTTGATGTCCATGTTGTAACATGAGATATTTACACAGAAATATTTTTAAACTTTTAATTAAATGCGTACCGTAACATTTATTAACCTTTATTTAACCAGTAAGATCCCATTGAGATCACAGATCTCTTTTGCAAGGGAGGCCTGGGCATGAAGGCAGCCCAACGTGCATGTTTTTGGTCATACACAAATATGTACAGTAAATGTTTGTTTCTGAACAGTGCCGGTGACACGGCTGATAAAAGAATATATACGGTAGCCTACCGGGAAGTTATTGATCGCTATCTTAATCTTCCTCCTGCGCAGCTTGTGCTGTCCTCTTCATCACGCAGCTGCCTGCCTGCATCCCACAGAGCTCAGAGTGCCGTTTTAAATGCACGATTCACACTTATTTCGAGTGGCTGCAAATACTTCGTCATTCTCTCCTCCCATCCCCGTTTCATTGGTCCACTGTGACCTGTTCGGTAATTTCATTTGTCAGGTTTTTTTATTTTTTTTACCTTTATACAGTAATCTCAATGGGTCACGAGACACAACCCCCCAAGAGAGATGTGTATTGGGCAGCTATGTGAGCGCCTAGGTGTAACGAGGCTAAATGTTTTGGCAGTATGAAGCTTGTTAGCCCATCAAAAAAATAATGAAATAAAATAAATCCATAAATAAGCCGCAGCACTGTGTAAGCTGCAGTGTTCAAAGAGTGTGGAAAGGTTACGGCTTATAGTCCAGAAATTACGGTATGTCTACAGGCTGACAGGGAGTCCGAATCTGTTTAGTCTAGGCTCTTTTACTGCTGTATTATTTTGCGATTTTTGACTTTTTTTTAATTTATTTATCAATTGAGGTCTTTTTAAAAGAAAAAAGTTAATTTGTTTTGCAACATATATTTCTCAAAATCTTAAGTGTAGCTTTATGTCATTGTGCATAATGTTTTCTGTAAATCAACCAGAATAGTAAACTGATAAATGGTAAATGGACTGTACTTATCTAGCGCATTTCAAGATACTCAAAGCGCTTTACAACACAATCTGTGTCCTCATTTACCCATTCATACAGCACTCTACTAGATCTCTACAAAGCTAATTTAACAAATCGTTCTAAAGAGACTAATCAGTGCTTTTAGATCACATTCATACACTGATGGGACACACATCAGAGGCTATGAGGGGTTCAGTGTCTTGCCCAGGGACACTTCAGCATTTGACTGCTGGTGGATTCAAACCCCCAACTCTCGCATTGGAGGACGCCTGCTCTAACCACTCAGCCACAGCCACCCATAACAAACTGCAGTTTTCCTCTTTAGGTTGATTAAAAGAATCCCCATGAATTTCACAACTAAAAATATGAAAATAAATAAATAAATTTGAATAGTCTGTCTAGGGCAGTCTTAACTTTTTTAGTTAAGTGATTGTTTGTTCTTTGTGCGGCACACGTCCAGTTAAAGTTTATTTAAACAGCCCATTTATAAAAAATTTCTTGGACAAAATCTGGAATAAAATACAGTGAACCCTCGTTTTTCACTGGGGTTACGTTCCAAAAAGAACCGTGACAGGCGGAATCCGTGAAGTAGTAACTTTTTTTTTTTACAATTTGACAATGAAATACTCCATGATACATTCAAACCAAAGAACAAAACCTTTTTACAGGCCCAAGCATTTGTTTAACAAAGAAAAGTACTGTATAAACATTTTTTACAAATAACTACTGTACTGGAGAGACTGTTTAGCCAATCAGAATGCAGAACACAATGCACGATGCAAATCCGTGAAGCAGCGAGACCGTGAAAGGTGAACCGTGTTATAGCGAGGGTTCACTGTATAGTGTAAAGTAACGCAACAGCAATTAATCTGAACCATGGAACAAAATTCCAGAGGATTTTAAAATAAACTAGACAAATTGCATTTCCTGTGAAAATGTTTTGTGAATGCTTATTGCAGAAGAACTTGCTGGAAAAAAACAGCTCAAATATAGTTGAAATGTAAGAACAAACCATTAGCAGAAGAAAACAGAAATGACACGTTTGCTGAATTAGCTTTAAGTCATCAGGACTGAGCACAAAATTAGGAAATTAGTGGAAAAAAAATGAAATTGGCAGAAAGGAGCTGAAAAGTAGCTGAAAAGGGAGAACAAGCTTAAATTAGCAGAAAAAAACATGTTTGCCAAATTAGGTTTAATGAAGCGGAAATGAGAAGGGAAAAAAATTAATTATTTGTCAAAAGCTGAAATCGGCACACACCAAAAAAAACAGCTGAAAAGTAGGTAAAAAGTAAGAAAGAAGCTTAAATCAGCAAAATGAAGTAGAGAGAGCATATTTTTGCTCAATTAGGCTAGAAAAAGTTAAAATGAGTGCAAAAAATGTGGAATTAGCTGAAAAAGCTAAAATTAGCATAAATCAGTTAAATAGTAGCTGAAACAGCAGGAAAAAAAAAGAAACTTCCAGAAATAAGCTGAAAGGAGCATAACTAGCTGAAATTAACCGAAAGAAGTTAGAAGAAGCACAAAAATGTTTTAGTTAGTAGAAATAAGCTGAAAGGAGCACAAAACTGTTGAAAGTAGCTGAAAAAAGTTTAAATTTGCACACGGAAGCTGAAGCAGAACAAAATGTGAAAGTAGCAGTAAAAGGTTGTAGACGCATCTAAAGATTTGAAGGAGGTAAAATGAGCTCAATTCATTTTCTATGAGGGAAAAAATGGCAGAAAAGGCTAAATATTTCAAAAAGCTAAAGTTGCACCAATACCAAAAGTCATGGCACCCTTCTCCTGAACGAGCTGAACACTTTTATAGATGATTTGTTGAAATAGCATAAAAGTTGTAGAATGAGAAAAATGCACGGTTTGAAGCAGTGATTTGGTCTAAAAGCTTCAATTTGCAGATATTAAATGAATATAAATCCACATACTCTTGTGCTTTATATGAAACCTGCTAATAGAGCTGTTCTATCTTTTTATAGAGGGTCCTTGTCTGATCCATTCCATGAATGGGGACCTGCTGTGGACCCTGGAGGGCCCCGAGCTCTGCCAGCGGCCCAGACTCATCCAGTCCTCCTCCGAGGGTCACTGCATCGTTTATTACGACAAGGGACACTTCTGTCTTTTCACCGTCAATGGCAAACTGCTCGGACACTTGGAAGTGGAAGACGGTATCAAGGTGAGGAGATGCATGAGTTAACACCAAAAAGTGCACTTGCACATGTATGTCTGCACCACATCTGTGCAGAAAGTCCTTTTTACTGATTAAAGGCTTTGTTTGGCTTTGAGACATGAGTGAGGTGAGGGTCAACGCGCCTCAGGACAAACTCAGGCTTCGCGTCTCTATTTTCCCAGTTCCCCCCCTCATTCACCAGAGGAAATAATTCTTTTGATCCGTAGCTCTGTTGTCAGGTTGAATCGCGACGGCGCTGGAAAGCATTCCAGAGTAGTGGTCAGTCCTGGACACCAACACCATTAACTACCCTCCATCACAGGACGACACATTCCCCACTGCCCACATTTCCTCCCTGGTGGCTGGGGTGACACAGGATAGCAGCTACCACCTTTAGTTTCCAGGCCCTCCATTTCCGCTTTGGCCTGGGAAATGTAATCTAGCTCTGACAGACAGCTGCATGCCTGTTTCCTATTAGCAAACCACTGGTGCCCAGGTTCTGAAACCTGCAAACCAGCCCACACCGACAAACCCACAAATATATTGAAATACTGATTGAACTCATCAGCAGCTCTGCAGAATTAGCGCGTGTTTAGTTTCATTGTTTCGGTGTACTTTAAAAGACAACAGCGCTGAAGTTGTAGCATTCCCACAGTTTTCGCTGCAGATGAAGCTGTGGAACGGTGCATGCTGCAGCAGGCCTCATCTTCCCTCTCTGCTAGATTCCAGCAGTGTCAGACAGCATTAGGAAAATCCTAACATCTTGAAGTGAGACTGTGTGAGTCTTAGCCAGCTTCTTTCCACCCTCCTGATCCAATGGTATTTAGAGCACTCATGTACGTACCAGAATCAATCTTCTTTGCCCTCTGAGCCGCAGCGCAGCGTGACTCCGGGATAAATAAGTGTTTGTCCTGGCTTGTGGTACGCACATGGAAACAGAAAGAAAGACTGTACGCACTGTGACTTTATAGGGGTCTGGAGTCAGAGGTTGCATGACAGGCTAACAGTCGGCATCCTGGTCTAATAGTAGAATTGGATGACAGAGGCCATACTGAATGCATTACATTCTTTTAAGTTATGGTACGACTCGAGCAGTGTAACCATCTGAGCAATTTATTTCCCTGCCTGTGTCAGTGTAACAGGGGGATTAACACCACCATAAATTCAACTTCTTACCTCCTCCAGACCCAGAATCCACCCACTGTTCTCTGGAAAAGAAGTACAAAATATGGACATATATATGCACATGTTTCTGCTAAAGTAATTTTTTTAGTCATCTGAGCTGTGGCAGCCATCTTGGCCCCAACAGAGCCATCAGCCATCTTGTTTGACCGCCTGGTGGCAAAGGTTTGATTTATAATGTCTGTTTGCAGCCTCCTACCTGGTCAGGCTGACATGTCTGCCAGCTCTGCTGCCCCCAGCTGTGCTCCAGTAAGGTCATAAACTCCATTAGTGGATGCACAAGTACATTAAGACACCAAGAAGCTGCTAAAACGTTCTCTTTATTTTAACTCTTTGACAGACACATCTGTGTAAATACCTCCATTTGAAGAAATTGTTTGATTCTGACCAGATTGATGAGTCATACATTTGCAGCTTTGTTGAACCGAACTGAAATGCATGATCCCCTCCCCGTCGGCACTGATGTAGTGCTAAGCTAGCGGTGCGCAATACAGTTGTGCTAGCTAAAAAGGTAAAGGCGGTGCTCATGCTGCCTCTTCCCTTACACTGAAACCCCCCCCCCCAAATGCACAAAAACTGTCTGTACAAACAGCACACGGCACATTGTCTTTATTGTTTTTATGCCATTAGTGCTTAACATATTTTTAGTTGATGTTTTTCTTAGTTCATATCTTAGATCTTATTACTGTTTTTCTTTTGCATTTTATTGTTGGATGTAACTGGGACCCTGAGTACCCGATCTTGTGACGTCACACACCCGTCAAACATTTCTCTTGTATTTTTAATAGATAATCAAAATTTTATTAATGTCCCACTTAAACTGTAAAACTGATTTGCAGTTTACTTTATTGCAATTTACTTGTGCTGTTTAATTATATTTAATTTAATTATATTTAATTATTTTATATTTTTGTGTTTTTAATAAAATTGCCCGTGACTGTAATTTTAGGGGCGGAGATTTTTTTAAGAGTAGAAGCTCGGCTGTGATATTAAGAAGCTTGTGAGTGGCTGCTATGTTTAAAATTAGTGTTTATGTAATTATTTTCAAATCACATATCCAATATAAGTTTTATTTGTTCAAGGCAGTCATATTTGTTCATAACTCTATTATTAGTAAGCCTGAGAGTTATTGGATCCAAGCAAACGTTTACCCGAACGCACCCTGTCCAAATAAGAGAGTCCCCGCATCCTGTTCCGACAATATCCGGCTCAAATTAAGCCCTAGTAGCTACCTAGTGAATGTATCTGAACATTTGACAGATAAAAATGTTGAGATCAAAAAATGCATCTAAAGAATCAGTAAATTGTCGTTTTTATCAGATTACGAGGATTTTAAAATGTTGGTGTCCAATTTTTACCGTATGTTTTCTTAACACATAGTAGCTATATTTAGTAGATACTCATATCTATTTATTTAGTTTTGCTTAAATTTAGTGTATTTACAACAACTTGCTGAAATAAGATGGATCCACGTTGTTAGAGAATGCTAAAGACGGTTAGTTTGCCATAAAGCAGAGCTACACTAAAGTCGACCGAAGCTGCCCTCAGTCATGGATGATAGTGTAACGTGGTGGTACGGGTGAATTATTTCTCACTGCCACCCGGCTTTACAATCTCAGAAAATAAAGTTGTTTTTGTTTTCTTGATCCAGACTTTCTGTTGTTTAGGGTTAGTTTTCATACCAAATCACGTTCAGTCAAGTTGTCACAGCTTTAAATGTCCATTTTTTTCCCATTAAATATGAGCTTAATTCAACACTCATGCCACTGATGAAAGAAGTGCTGAATCACCGCGAGGCGGCCGCAGCTGAAAGACGTCCCACTTCGGTGTCGTAAAACCGCAAACGACGCGCTTTTAGAACTTACATTCAGCCTCGTCATTTCATCAGCTCCGGTTACTCGCATGATTGATGCTACTGACTGTTTCAGCTTCCACTCTGATCTGTGCCCTTAATAGACTCCAGCACAGGACTTGATTTGTGTTTATCTGATTCCTGAGGGAGACATTCAGCTGCTGCCGTTTGCAAGGAAAGCAGATGAGAAGAGTAAATCTCAGGGCTTCACTGCTGGGAGACACGTTTAATGAGAGTCTGGGTTTGTGTGAAGAATGTGGGACTTGGTTGAAGAACACACCTTGAAGTGTAAACATTGTGGATGAACTGATTCCATAATAGGAGGGTCTAAGGTTGTAATTAAATAGTTTTACTGTCACGTTTTTTTAAACATTAGGTGACAATAAAAAGAGATTGATGACTGTACCATAATATATTATTTAGGCCATAATGAATGCAACTTGCTAGTTGCAGTAAACTGTTGCTAAACTTTTTTTCTGTTTGCCTTTGACAGGCCATGCTTCTCAGCAAAGATGGCCAGTATCTGCTGACAGGTGGAGATGAAGGTGTAGTTTCTGTCTGGCAGGTCCATGACCTTAAACAGCTGTTCACCTATCCTGGCTGTGATGCAGGAATCCGCTCCATGGCCATGTCACATGACCAAAGGTAAGCATGCAGGTCTTTGACCAGAGTAAAACACTGCAGAGTTACAAACTGAATATTTAAAGGCTTAAAACAATGAGCCAAAAGCTTTAAGTTAAACTTTTAAAGGATCTATACGTTTGTCTCCCATCGTTTTGTGGTTTAATTTTGATTTGTAGCTGGTAATTTTTGTGTGCTGAAGGGAGACATTTTCTAATATTAGCTTGCAGAAAATTAAAGTAAGCATTTCATAGATTTTAAGCTTTGGTAAAAAGAAAACTCCATCAATCATTACCATATTTTCTGCCGTACACGTCACACTGCTGTATAAGTCTGTATAAGTCGCATCAGTCCAAATATGTCTAATAAAGTGGAAAAAAAAACATAAATACATCGCTTTGCCGTATAAGTCACATCTATTATGTGTCACCGCTGACAGCCAGGAAATGTGGGCCGGTGTTGTGCCAAAAATCGATTGGATGCCAAATTTGCATGGGAGGACTTTAACAAGAATTTAACAAGGTTAACACTTAAAAACAATTATTTATTTGCTCAAAATTATAGTAAAAGTGTGTCTCAGTTTAACTTTTCCTTAATAGATGCACTTTGACAGTCAAATCAGGTGTATTTCAAAAGCCCATTTGCGAAAGCGCGAGCGCACAGAGGGACGACTTGCTGTGCATTTTTTCGAATTTTAACAAGATAAGCACCTAAAACAATTGTTTGTTTGCTCGACATTATAGTAAAGGTGTCTCAGTTGGACTCTTACTTAATAAATGCACTTTAATGGACAAATCAGTTGCATTTTTCCAGAGCGGTGCAGCGAAATGAAGCTGATTTGACAGTTGCTCCAGATGAGCTGGACGAAGGTGGCAGTCTGTGGCAAGCCGAATGTGTCATTAATAGACACTTTTACCTATTACATGACACAACGGCATTCCATACTGCTCGAGTGCCATCTAGCGACTAAAAATGGTAGTGTTCAATATTTTCAGTCAGAATGAATGAAAACGGTCATATCTCAGCCAAAAATTGGTTTATGAATATGGGAAAAAAATCCATAAACAAGTCGCTTCGGCGTATAAGTCGCAGGGCATGGAAGTTATGCAAAATAACCCAACTTATAGGCCAAAAAATACTGTAATTTCCAGGTCTTGGGTGTCACTGGTACGTCCTTAACAGGTCGCAAGTCCATCACAGAGAGACAACCAACCATTAAGGTTCAAATGTGGTTTATTTCAGTTTTTTTAATTCAGTTTTGACTTTTTATATACAGGTCCTTCTCAAAAAATTAGCATATTGTGATAAAGGTCATTATTTTCCATAATGTAATGATAAAAATGAAACTTTCATATATTTCAGATTCATTGCACACCAACTGAAATATTTCAGGTCTTTAATTGTTTTAATACTGAAGATTATGGCATACATCTCATGAAAACCCAAAATGCCTGTCCCAAAAAATTAGCATATTTCATCCCACCAATGAAAGACAAGTGTTTTTAATACAAAGAACGCCAACCTTCAAATAATCATGTTCAGTTATGCACTCAATACTTGGTCGGGAATCCTTTTGCATGAATGACTGCTTCAATGCGGCGTGGCATGGAGGCAATCAGCCTGTGGCACTGCTGAGGTGTTATGGAGGCCCAGGATGCTTCAATAGAGGCCTTAAGCTCATCCAGAGTGTTGGGTCTTGCGTCTCTCATTTTTCTCTTCACAATATCCCACAGGTTCTCTATGGGGTTCAGGTCAGGAGAGTTGGCAGGCCAATAGAGCACAGTAATACCATGGTCAGTCAACCATTTACCAGTGGTTTTGGCACTGTGAGCAGGTGCCAGGTCATGCTGAAAAATGAAATCTTCATCTCCATAAAGCTTTTCAGCAGATGGAAGCAAGAAGTGCTCCAAAATCTCCTGATAGCTAGCTGCATTGACCCTGCCCTTGATAAAACACAGTGGACCAACACCAGCAGCTGACATGACACCCCATTGACTGTGGAAACTTGACACTGGACCTCAAGCAATGTGAATTCTGTGTCTCCTCTCTTCCTCCAGACTCTGGGACCTTGATTTCCAAAGCAAATGCAAAATTTACTGTAATCAGAGAACATAACTTTGGACCACTCAGCAGCAGTCCCAGGCTAGATGCTTCTGACGCAGTCTCTTGTTCAAGAGTGGCTTGACCTGGGGAATGCAGCACCTGTTACCCATTTCCTGCACACGCCTGTGCACGGTGGCTCTGGATGTTTCTACTCCAGACTCAGTCCACTGCTTCCGCAGGTCCCCCAAGGTCTGGAATCGGCCCTTCTCCACAATCCTCCTCAGGGTCCGGTCACCTCTTCTCGTTGTGCAGCGTTTTCTGCCACACTTTTCCCTTCCCACAGACTTCCCACTGAGGTGCCTTGATACAGCACTCTGGGAACAGCCTATTCGTTCAGCAATTTCTTTCTGTGTCTTACCCTCTTGGTTGAGTGTGTCAATGACGGCCTTCTGGACAGCAGTCAGGTCGGCAGTCTTACCCATGATTGCGGTTTTGAGTAATGAACAAGGCTGGGAGTTTTTAAAAGCCTCAGGAATCTTTTGCAGGTGTTTAGAGTTACGTCGTTGATTCAGATGGTTAGGTTAATAGCTTGTTTAGAGAACCTTTTCATGATATGCTAATTTTTTGGGACAGGCATTTTGGGTTTTCATGAGATGTATGCCATAATCATCAGTATTAAAACAATTAAAGACCTGAAATATTTCAGTTGGTGTGCAATGAATCTGAAATATATGAAAGTTTCATTTTTATCATTACATTATGGAAAATAATGACCTTTATCACAATATGCTAATTTTTTGAGAAGGACCTGTATGTGTAAGTCTGGTTGATGGAACCTTGAAATCAGGAGGAACAGTTCAGTTCTATTTCGTGTAGGCTTTGCCCTTTAAGGCTGTCGCTGGTGGGTTTTATCCTGTCACGCAAAACATCGCACTGAAAAATTTAGTCCACGCCCATCTGTCTTGTGGGCCCCACCCAGTCCGTATAAATTACATTGAGAGCGGGTAATCGGCTCCCATTTTTCTTCAGCTAGCAATTAGCACTGATCTTCCAAGAACGCGATGTCCAGCACCAACACCATCCGCCTGTGCCCGTCCTGCAAGACCGGCTACATGCTAAGCTTTGACCGGCACGACACCTGCGAAGGATGCCTGGGTCCCCGCCACGCCGACCTCGCCTCCTCCTGCCGCCTCTGTGACCTCATCCCCCCTGAGGAGAGGCAGAGGCGATTAGCTTTGTTTAAGGCTAACATCGAGGAGTGCCTCTCCGTGGCGAGGGACTGTTCGCTGGATGACGCCATCGACTTTTTTTGACACCGGGTCTCGGAATGAATCGGATGATTCCTCCAGGACAGGCGACGTCAGCAGCAGCCCCGCTGCTCATTCCCTCCCTGAGAGCCTAGTGTTGGAATGGGAGGGGCCGAGCGGATGCTCACCCCTCTCGGGCCTTTCCGCATCAGCGACCACACTACTCCCAGCCGTCAGTGCCCTCCTCTCTGAGCTGTCTGGCATAATCCAGGAGGCAGCTGACACGAAGGGACTTTCCATCCCTCTCCTCGCCCCGCCCAGATCGGATGATCTAGCGTGAAGGTTTGGCTCTACCCCTTGCTCGCTGTCCTGACCCCATCTGGCCTCATTTCCCAGCAGTAACGTCCTACTGGAAAGAGGCTGCAGCCGGACCTGGTAAATTGAGAGCGCCCGTCTCCACCTTCGCGTCCATCACCAGAGTGGGGGGGTTTACTGAGCGGAATTTTCCCTCGGTACCCCCCCGGAGCCAAGCCTGGCGGAAGCTATCGGAGCAAAAGTGTCCAGATTGGACCAGCGTCCACTTCCTCCGGGGAAGCATGACCAGATGGTGACGTCACTCTCCAACCGAGCTCACCAGTGTGCGTTCCAGGCGGCCACAGTGAACAACGATGTCGCTCTGCTAGCTTACAGCATCTCAAAGAGGCTGGAGGAAACAGACCTGCCTGAGGAGACAAAGAGCTCACTCTGCAAGGCGTCTGATGTCATCCTCAACCTGTGCACCTCCTCTTCTGTCTGCCTGTCTCGCATCGCCGCCTGGATGACAATGATCCAGAGGTCCACCTGGCTTCGACACTCCCCCTCCCTGCCGGAGAAGCTACAGAACGACCTGCTGGAGGGCCCCATCACGACGGATGCGCTGTTCTGAGCCAATTTCAAGGCCATACTAGAAAAATCGAAGAAGTCAGAGGAGGTGTCGGAGACTGTGTGCCACTTGATGAAGCCGCACTCCTCCACCCCACCGTTCAGAGGGATTATTGAGACGGTTCTGTCATCTTCAGAACAGATCTCATCCCTTCATGCAGAAGTTCAGGAACTACTGGTAAAAAATGTAATTTCCAGGGTTCCCAACGGAGAGGAAAACACAGGGTTTAACTCGCGTTACTTCCTGGTTCCGAAACGGACCGGAGGGATGAGATCCATCTTAGATTTATCCATTTTCAACAAGTCGGTCATGGAGAGACAGTTTCACATGTTGACAACCAGACAGCTGTTGAACAACATTCAGTAGAACGACTTGTTTACCTCCATCAATCTCAAAGATTTTTATTTTCACATTCCAATCATTCCAAAGCACAGAAAGTTCCTGCGCTTCTCCTTCCAAGGGACCCAGTACCAATACAACAGGCTCCCGTTCAGTTACTCCCTCGCACCACGCACGTTTTCAAAATGTGGTGAGACGGCCCTGCAGCTGCTACACAGCAGGGATGAGAATTATGTTTTACCTGGACGATCTGCTGTTGCTGACCCGATCCACGCAAGAAGCAGCAGTGCCAACCAAAGCGCTGATATCACACCTGTTAAATCTGGGCTTCGCCATAAACTGGGAGAAGAGCTCGATTCTCCCCGCCCAGATGATCGTTTATCTGGGAGTAGAGCTAAACTCAGTCACTATGAGGGCTCGTTTATCACATATGAGAGCCGGAACTCTAAAAGACCAGCTCCGCCACGTAAAGC